AAGTTGATCATGTAATACCATTCAGCATATAGGTCTTGGTCTATATTGCCTAGTTTACTCAAGATTTCATCTTTAGAACTGTAGTACTTCTTTTCTGCAATCTTTCTTGTATAGTTTAGTTCTGTCAGAGGCAATGGCTACAGTACTTTTGCTCTGGACAGTCTTTTCTGGTTCTGACTGTGCAATTCCAAGGATACTAGTGTACCTCTTGCTTTCACAGGAGGGCCAGAGACCATGTTTGGAATTATTTTGATTATCACACACTTAGGCTGATTGCTTTTCATTTCAACCATCATGTACAGGTTTTCCTTCCACCTTTTGGAGGTTATTATTATTATGCATTAGTAAATTTTCATAATCAAAGAAGGATGTGCCTTAGAATTCCAAACATTAAAATAGTGCTTAAGAATTTAAGATGAGAATCAAGATCCCTTCTGCTTTATGTTAATTGAGTGTTTACTTCTAAGTGCTGCCAAGCTGTTCATTATCGTACAAATAAAGGCAATAAGATCAGTTGGTAACCTGTAAACATAAGTTTAATTATAAAAATGCACTGGTAAGTGGATACATATACCTTAAAACATAATAAGAATTTAGTAGGAAACATTGAGGCAGGTATATGCTGTTACATATGACAAGCTATCATTTTGAGCACAAAGTGCAATTTACCCCTTTTTTTTCTCTCTCTATGCAGAAAAACAGAAGTTGTTTTTCACTATAAAGTTGTAATAAATAAAAAAAACCACTCTGAAATGGCTTTGTATGCCGTTTCACTGGTTTTAACAAAGACTGACCTCCTTGACAACAGCATCTAAAGGGCAAAAAGATTAATCTTGTAGGCAGTATTTAGAAGCATATTGGGTATCTTGTGTAATAAAGAGGGAAAGCATAATAGCAGGATTTGTCCAATATAGTTGCATTCTCTGCTTCTGAGCAACATCAGGGAGGGGGATAGGTTGCAGTCCCTGGAATCTTTCATTTGGGTTCAATAATCACCAACAGCGTGCCAGAGCCAGCTCATAGCAGGTGGTGAGAACCAATTCTTAAATTTTCAGGAATTTTGGTTGCTGGTTGAAACAAAGGTGAGCTGTGATGCCCGTTGTACAGATCAGCCGTTCTGTGACTAGTGATATGGAGGTGGCACTTTTGCTGGCAGAGTTCTTAAACACTTACTGGCACACAACTGATTAGCACCATATTTTAAAATATGATTCCCAGTCAGTTGTCCTCGGCTGACAATTGAATCTCAGCTTCCTTACGGCAACATACGAAAGTAAGCTTTTTGCCAACAGTGTGCATTCATTTGCTTCTTCCTTCACAGAATGACCAAATAAAACAGAAACCTTCTGTTTAACTAGGGACCCTTAACTAATTCAGACTGAAACTTAACCATAGCTTGAATTCAGTTTATCTCTGTTTTCCAGAGAAAGCAAAACTACATGCTGAACTAGAAGCTTTCTGTTTTGTTTGTGCTATGGAGACAGCAAAGGGGTTTAATAGCCAAAAGGTTTATTTATATCTTAGTTTACTTTCCAGCTTATTTTTCTTCATTAATCCATTTGAAATTTAGAAGCTAAAAATATTCCTTGAGGTTTGTTCAGGCTCCTTGGTTAGATACAAACATGCAGATATTTGGCACATTGTCAAATATCAGAACATCTCTAATTGAGCTGACAGCAAAAAAAAAAAAAAATAGTACCAGACTTTTATATCTTCCATTTCTTCTTGGTCTTAATAAATGCACCGTGACGAAACATAAATTGCTGCATACAATGGTTTTAATTTCTAATCGGCAGAGGTTTTTTCTTTTTCTTTTACAGGAGGAGTTAAGCTTGGCTTAGGAGATTTCATTTTCTACAGTGTTCTAGTTGGCAAAGCTTCAGCAACAGCCAGTGGAGACTGGAACACAACTTTAGCCTGTTTTGTAGCCATTTTAATTGTGAGTATATTTCCCCTTCCCTTTCTTGTTGATGCCATTACTAGTTAAATTGTGTAATAATGCTCTTCCTTAGGAATTGTTTAAACGTGTCAGCTGGACAACTTCAGGGGGGTTTTTTTCTTGCAGGTTTTTTTTTCTGTTTTTTTTGATTATACAGTATTTCCAGCATGGATATCCAATAATTCCTCCCATTCCCTCTGAAACTTGATAGATGGATGATAGTTAAGTTTTTGTATTTTATCTTCACTTTCACAAGAAAAAGGGAAGTAAAATCCTTGCCAGGTCTGACTAGAAAAATACCATTCTCTAATAAGAGGTTGTAGAAAAAGTTCAGCCTCTCAGAGAAGCATCCATCTAGATCAGCGGTTCTCAACCTATGGGTCGCGACCCCATTTGGGGTCGATAGACCATTTCACGGGGGTCGCCAAGCAAGGCTGTCCGCCATTTTTCCCCCCTTTTCTGGCAGGTGCCTTACCTCCCTTGAGCTGGGCCAGCTGGTGGTCGGCCTGCTCTGTCTCTGCCGCTTGCCAGCTACGCCTCGGCCAGCGCAGGGGGCGGAACTACGCATGCGCGACGCTCCCGGGCAGGGAAAGTCCTCAACTTACGACCGGTTGGGTAGTCCTCGACTTACGACCGGTTTAGTCCTCGACTTACGACCGGTTGGGGGTCACGGCATTAAAAAGGTTGAGAACCACTGATCTAGAGCAGTGGTGGCGAACCTATGGCACGCGTGCCAGAGGCGGCACTCAGAGCCCTCTCTGTGGGCACGCACGCCATGTCCCCGAGATGGCAACCGTCCCTCTTCAACCAGCTGCCCACTAACTCGCCGAGGTCCCACGTGGCCAGATGCATCCCAGCACAGCTGGTTTCCCTCCCCCCGGTCCCATCCCTCCTGGCCTCGCATGCTCTCCTTTTCCCGGGCATGACCCACTGCATCGCCTTCTCAGCTGTTGGCTAGCTGTCCAGCTCAGAGGCAGCTTCTCTAAACTGATGGCGGTGGGCTGCGGAGCCCCAGAGTGCGCCAGTCGAAGGGCTGGCAGGCTGTGGCTGCTGACGGACACTGTCGGCCCCCATGCGCTCGTTGGCATCTGTGCGGGGGCCAACAGTGTTAGGCAGCAGCCGCCCCGGCCCCTGCCTCGTTTTACCCCGCAAGACAAGCCTCCTGCCCACCACCCCACCTGCCAGAGACCCCCTGGATCTCCCCCAACCCTTCCCGGCCCCCACAGGTGTCCCTCCCCACAAGCAACATCGAGGTGACCACGCCCACCCAGTGAGCCACGCCCACCTGGCACCTGGCGATAAATAAGTGGGTTTTGGGTTGCAGTTTGGACACTCGGTCTCTAAAAGGTTCGCCATCACTGATCTAGAGAGATTGCTAGTAGTTGGATTGCAATGATGCCCAGACTTGAAGGTGAAAATCAGAACTGTAACTCAGAGAAGGAGGGATGAGAGAAAGAAAGCTTTCCTTTCTCACTCTTTTAAAAAACAAAGTCACCGGAACACACCTACGTGCAATCCTTCAGGCTGTTCACCATACAAGACCTCCCAGGGAGGCAGAATTGTGGAACCTGGAACAATGTACCTGATGCTCAGAGTTGGTCATAAGCTTTTAAATATTGTCAGTTGCTTCTGTCAGGAATTTCTTGAAAGACGTTTGGGGATAACAAGTTTGGACAGATTTTTTTTCATGGGTGTCTTTCTTAATATTCTGGCTTGAGATAATGGTATTTTCCTAAAATAAAGGAATCCATAAAAAAACTAGACACGTTAGTGGTGTGTAAGATGTGTAGGTTCCAAGGGAAAAGCACAAGAGTTCCATTTGCAGACACCATTCGCTTGAGAGGATGGATACCAGTAGCTAAATGCTGTGCACTTGGAATTCCAAATTATTGTCAATAAAAATAGAATTTCATAGAAGGAGCCCAATATTCTGCATGGGCTAGGCTATCATTACAGTACTGTCCAAAACTACTAAAACTGTTGCTTCCATGATAGGCTATTCTACTCTTAATGAAAATGTGGTTACTAGTTGTCTGCTTATAACAGAAATGTCTACATAAGGGGTGGTAAAAGAAGTCACAATGGTAACCCTCTATCTTTTCAGTATGAGTTGTATACATCACACCCATAACTGTGCCCGCCATCTTGACATACATGCAGATGTTGCCTGGCTTATGTATGATAGAAACTAACCGTCCATTTTTATAAAAGGTTTGGTGGGTTGCTCCTGATATTTAAAGTGTAGAGTCTTTTTTTCCCCTTATCAGGGAATTTCTTACAGTGAATTTAGGCATCTCCGTCTTGTTGGTTGAAAAAAAAGTTTTCTACCCACTGAAGAGTCCTGTCTCTCTTCATATCCCTAGTAAAACAGGCTCTGCTATTCAGCACAGTAACAGAGGTGACAGAATGGGAATGTGGTTAAAAAATGTGCCTCAATGGCAATTTATCCATCTTGATTTTCTCACCAAATTTATGAACAATCCTTGTTGGCAGTTAATTTATTTCTGAAGCACATCCAGAGTTGATTGCTGTCCCTGGAAGCAATCAACTATCTAATAGTTTGAGATAAGAGCTCTTCCAATTAACTTACGTGTTGTTGTTTTTTTTCTCTCTCTCTTTTTATCCTAGGGCCTGTGCCTTACCCTCTTGCTACTTGCCATTTTTAAAAAGGCCTTACCAGCTCTTCCAATTTCTATCACGTTTGGGCTAGTTTTCTATTTTGCCACAGATAACTTGGTGCAGCCTTTTATGGACGAATTAGCTTTCCATCAATTTTATATCTAGCACCTTTTCAGCTGCTGATCACCTGTGGACATTTTATTGAATTTAGCAAATACAGGAGGGAGAAACTATCTTCCCCTCATTTCCTAAAACAGCTGCTATGCTGGGCATTACTGGATTCTTCTTTGTAAAAATGGTCTCTTCACCAGTGGGTTTTCTGCCATTTGACTGCAGTCAGTTACATCTCTTTAAAAGAACAGTCTGTAGAAAAGATGCCGATGCTCTGATCGGCAGAACCTCAGCCTGGGGTTCCACTTTGCGCCAATCAAGAATGCTGAGGGTTCATCCACTGTTAAGCGGTATGATGATTAATCAAGCTGAACTGCCTGATAAGTGAGTGTGATGCCATAACAGGAACTATCAGCACTTGTAGCCTGAGGCCACTCGGAGAAGAGCAATTGGGAGGAAAGAATATTATCTTGTTTAAAGGGAAAAATCAAGCAAATAACGTTTTGCACTTTGTGTTAGGTTTTTTTTTGTCTTTCCAATTTTAATTGTCATACTTGCAGAACAGTCTATATGCTCCTTGCCAGATCAACACAGAACACACACATCGATTCTTCTGCCAAAAAAATTCTGGGAATTTGGGGTACAGTAGACATATCCTGGGATCCTTTGTGTAAAAACAAAATCTCATTTCTTATTAAGCTATGTAATCTATTTCTAGACATCTCCCCTTCCCTAAAATATGTTGAATATTCATTCAGCTTTCAAGAGAGTTTTATAATTTATTCCAACAAAGAGGTAAGAAACTAAAAACTATCAAACAGCAACAGAACATTGCAATGAAATCTTGGGGCTTTTTTTAAAAAAACAAAAAACAAAACCTGACTTCATCTTTTGTTCTGAATTTTTTTTTTTTATAATTCCTTGGGACCATTTTATAAGAAATGTATATATATATGCATGTGTATTGCAATATAAAATTAAAAAAAAATGATACCTACTATTAACTGTCTCCCTCCCAGACTGCAATAAAGCCATCTTGTTCGAGTGAAAAATACATCTCAATTGAACATACATATGAATTTGTCAAATAAGTTCTATAATTATTAGAACCTAGCTTAGCCTTCCTCATAAAAACATTCAGAAAAATTGTGGGGCGGGGGAGGCGGCGCAGGAGGAGTAACTTAATTTTACTGTATATGTACAGTATTGTTCAAAATATCATTCCAGAAATTTCCTAATGGGGATTTCTGTTGAATGTACCCCTTTATTCAAACACAAAAAAACAACCGTCGGCAATGGGGTGCTTTCCTTGGAACCCCATTGCATATATTGCCTTTCCTTATTCAACACATGTTGAGAATATCATCTTTTAGGATTCAGAGGAAATTGGAGCATTTCTATATAGCTGCCTAGCTTGTCCTAAACCACTGAATAGTATCCAGCTATTACATTCAGCCAGTAAAATGAAATTTATCTACACACACACACACACACACAATGTTATATTATTATTTTGTTTGTACTGATACTTACTTGAGCGTCTTTGGTTTGTGAAGCTGGGATTGTAAATATATAAGACTGCCAAAGAAGTCTGCCGAAGTCTGGTACTACTGCTGAGCGCTGTTATTGGCATTATAAGTCTGCAGTGCAACTGCTGATAGTTTTATTCCAGAAATCATTTGAACCTGATGATCATACAGGTCACTTGTTATCCACCAATCTAACACTTCAGTCTGCCATTACAGAAGTCAATATAAGCTTTCCATGAATTTCAAAGACCTTTTAAAGAAACATTTATAATAAAAGTAGGAGTCTTCACTGACTTACTGAGCCATTTTTAGATCCTAATTCTTAATGTATGAAACTGGCCATTTCCCGAACATACTGTAATGTCTTCTTTGGGATTTCTAGAACATTTCCTGGAAATTTTTAATAACTGTATTTCCAACACTTTTGAAAGGCAACAGGTAGATTGTACAGGCATCTCTGGATTGCAACAACAGCATATACTGCAAACACAGGCTCCTGTGATAGAACACTTCTTTGTGCAAATTGTTCTTTCTATTTAGGAAAGTAGTCATTTAGGGCAGAATTGCCTCTTCTGGGCATATTCATTTAAGCGAAGGAATGGCGTATTCTGCCTTACAAGCCCATACACGTCGTATCAGATTTTGCAGATGAGAGTTTGAGAATTGAATCATGGTCATAAAGCTTGTAATGATTCTACAGAAATATGAACATGTGTCTGCTTTACCCCAAATTATAAGAGCCAGTGGTTCTTAATGAACGTAATCAACAATTAAATACACCAAGTATTCCCTGTGGGTTTTGAGCATGCATCTAAGAAATGCAAACAGATTCAGAAAAAAAGCATGTTTGTTGCAAGATGTTAATTAGACTAGCCTCGAAAGCAACCAGTTTGGAGATTTAGCAAGCATTAACTTGGTTATAAACAATTATGACTCAATTCTAAGCTTCCTGGAAATCAGTTTAACTCTAGGCAGCTATAACTTGAACACCCTTCAATGCCTTCTGAAAAGTAACAACTCAGTATGGAGATACTGTGTTGATCAGGCCCATAAGAGTTGCCTTAAGAATCCCTTAATACAGGATAACTTCTGTTACCATCAAATTGATTCTGATTGTTATGGGACTATTTAACAGAAGCTTGCAAGTCAAAAAGTGTAAAAAGTTATAACATGAAAGTGAAATTCTTGTACTTTTTTTCCCATTAGGCTTTAGAGAGATTGTAAATGAAAGCTAAGTTACTATCTATAGCAGAATTTGAAATGTCCTAATTTTCACTAATATTTGATATGCGATCAGTGTGGTGTATTCAAATGCTAGTAATTACCTAACTTCTAAGGGCTGCAGTAAGCTGAAAAAGCAGAATATTTTAGTATAAAGCATAATTTGGATGTCTTCACAAGGGATGTCCCAGCTGAGATTCTATTCTACACGTTGCTGATGCAGCAAGAGAAACATTACAATACATTAGGGAAAGATTTTTAGCAAGGATACTTGAGGACAAATCACTTTTATTAATAAATTATTTTTGCAGTGATGCATAAAGATCATCTACAAGAAATCCATAGCACACGAACCTGTACAGAGGGGTGATTTTGTCTAGTATAACTCGTTTACAAGTAAGAATAGTGGGAATGCAATAGAATTGGATTTTTAGTCCTTTTTATTTTATTTTTTTCAGACACTGGTTTATTGATTATACAAAATGAATGTGAATAAGCTTTTTAAAAATATCTTTTCAAGATATAATTTTGACAAGTTGTTGCTATTTACCTTGTATTTATCAATTATTAATAAATAGCGCATGGATCCAATGTCTCTTTTATTCATTGTGCTGAACACTAATAGAAATGTTGCTATTTCAGAAGGTTGATATAAATCAGGGGTCTTCCAACTTGGTCCTTTTATGACTTGTGGACTTCAACTCCCAGAATTCCTCAGCCAGGAATTCTGGGAATTGAAGTCCACAAGTCATAAAAGGGCCAAGTTTGAAGACCCCTGATATAAATTGTAAACATCTTATTATCCATATAAAAACACCCCACCTCAAATATATTTAAAACACCATGCTCAATTTCTCCCCAGATCTCTTCATGGTAAGGAATAAGTATATTTTTTAAAAAACTGTACATCTATATGTGTTGAGATATTTGCTTCAGTTCAAGTGGATTAAAATCATAAACCCTTGCTAAGTTACCAACTGCAGTGATTCACTTAACTGTGGCAAGAAAGGTCATAAAATGGAGCAAAACTCATTTAACAACTATCTCGCTTAGCAACATAAATTTTGGGCTTAATTATGGTCATAAGTCGAGGGCTACCTGTATTGTATTGCCAGCATTGAGAATTTTACTGCCCAAAGCCAAAACATGAAGTTCTTTATTAAACTGTTTGGCCCCACCAACAAACATAAAAATTAATTGAAAGTTTGAAATCCTAACCATAACATCAATCACTCTAGAACAGCATATATGTAGAATCTGACTTAAAAATTTGCAGCTCAGAATCCAATTACAGATGTATTTATTATATCTTATCCCAGAGGAATCATTTCCCACTCTTTACAAAATCCACTTATGAAAGCTGCTTCTTTAGAGACCCTGACTTAACCCATTATTCTGAAATCACAGGAGACATAATTAAGACTGAAAAGCTATTTGCATTGAACAACAAAAATAGATTTATTGGGACAAAACATATAGGTCATGATAAGAAATGCTTAATATAGACTCTTAAATATCAAGAAGTATGTTTACATTTTTCCTCATATAAATAAAATAAAAGTCCTAGTAAAAGTAATTTTGTTATTTATATAATATGGAGGGTTTCAGACTAGGACGAATTTATCCTTCGCATATTCAATACCATAGAGGATAGAATCCAAACAACTTCAGGACATACTCTTCCCTTTTGAGACCAAGAAAATTGCTACTAAAGAATGAATGGAATTAACACTGTTCAGCAGTGTAACCCTATCCATGTTGACTCAAAAATAGACCTTTTGAAGTTTGTGTGACTTACATAAGTATGTAGCAGCGCTAAGCCAACTTTTTCTTGTAGGGAGAATGGTATATACCATATTGATTCTTGTAGGGAGAATGGTATGTACCATATTGATCGTTTATGACCTGTACAAGAAAATTTGGAAAACTCAACAGTGGCCACAGGATTGGAAAAGGTCAGTTTACATTCCAGTTCCAAAGAAAGGCAATGCCAAAGAATGTTCAAACTATCGCACCACTGCACTCATTTCACATGCGACTAAAGTTATGCTTAAAATCCTACAAGCTAGGCTCCAGCAGTATGTGGATCGAGAACTTCCAGAAGTACAGGCAGGATTTCGAAGAGGCAGAGGAACTAGAGATCAAATTGCCAACATACGCTGGATCATGGAGAAAGCTAGGGAGTTCCAGAAAAACATCTACTTCTGCTTCATTGACTATGCTAAAGCCTTTGATTGTGTGGATCACAACAAATTGTGGCAAGTTCTTAAAGAGATAGGAGTACTAGACCATCTTATTTGTCTCTTGAGAAACCTATATGCAGGTCAAGAAGCAACAGTGAGAACTGGACATGGAACCACTGATTGGTTCAAAATTGGGAAAGGAGTCCTGCAAGGCTGTATTCTGTCACCCTGCCTATTTAACTTATATGCAGAGCACATCATGAGAAAGGCAGGGCTAGATGAATCAAAAGTTGAAATTAAGATTGCCGAGAGAAATATCAACAACCTAAGATATGCAGATGATACCACTCTAATGGCAGAAAGTGAAGAGGAACTAAAGAGCCTCTTGATGCAGGTGAAGAAGGAGAGTGCAAAAGTTGGCTTGAAACTCAACATTAAGAAACCAAGATCATGGCCTCTCAATTCCTGGCAAATAGATGGGAAAGAAATGGAGGTAGTGACAGATTTTATCTTCCTGGGCTCCAAGATCACCACAGATGGGGACTGCAGCCAAGAAATTAAAAGACGCTTGCTCCTGGGGAGCAAAGCTATGGCAAATCTAGACAGCATACTAAAAAGCAGACACATCACCCTGCCAACAAAAGTATGTATAGTCAAGGCCATGGTTTTCCCAGTTGCAATGTATGGCTGTGAAAGTTGGACCATAAGAAAGGCTGAGTGCAAAAGAATTGAGGCCTTTGAACTATGGTGCTGGAGAAGACTCCTGCGACTCCCCTGGACTGCAAGGCGATCAAACCGGTCAGTCCTAGAGGAGTTCAACCCTGACTGCTCTTTAGAAGGCCAGATCCTGAAGCTGAAACTCAAGTACTTCGGCCACCTAATGAGAAGGAAGGACTCACTGGAGAAGAGCCTAATGCTGGGAAAGATTGAGGGCAATAGAAGAAGGGGACGACAGAGAATGAGGTGACTGGATGGAATCACTGAAGCAGTAGGAGTGAGCTTAAATGAACTCCAGAAGATGGTAGAGGACAGGAAGGCCTGGAGGAACGTTGTCCATGGGGTCGCGATAGGTCAGACACGACTTTGCAACTAACAACAACAACAAGAAAATGATAGTCAAATACTATTTTTTCTGTATACAATTGGAACTCATCCTGCAAGGTAAAATGTTAAAGCTCTTCCATGGTATTAGGCAGCAGTGAAGT